TGACGAATTTTTGAAGCAGAAGCGTACTTCAGCAGCGTCACAGAAGCGTACTTCAGCATATTGCGAATCTGATGTTTTAACAATTTTTAGCTTCCCGGATTGTCCTGGATTTAACTTAATAACATCCATATTCATTTCCAAATAATGATAAGCTATGACTTGAGGGTACGGGTCGGTCCATCTCCGATGGATAGGGTGATTTTTTTTATTGTACAAAAACAGTAGTCAAATATTAACTTAATTTTGATATCGTACCGGCGCTGGTTTAGAAGTAACCCAGCTTTGAGCTCATTTTTTATCCGTATGTTAACTAGCTTTGCGCGGCTCGGCTGATAGCTTTTAAGCAGTATTGATTTTGTAGACCCAATGTTACAAAAACTACATTGATTTGGCTATAGTGGAGACGGTCAAAAGTACGTAAAGCTCTATTTAGCCACTAGCCAAGCGTTTTCGGATCTAAGTTTACTCTCGGTATGTACTTCCGGGCGAATGTTACATTGTTTGCCGCTGTTTTAAATTGCTGAGTTCCGTTTCGAATTTCGTCTTTTGTAAGCAGCATTTTCACTCTTCGTATTACCTGCAAACGTATCTTATGTTTTTTGCGCATTTTTCGGCGTGAGGATTAAAAATCTCCACGTTGGAAATGGCTCGATTGAATTGGTCTCCCCAGTATCCGGTAGTCTTGATGTCCAGCCTATCTTCAGTAGGATTACCGCGAAGGTGTCGCGATTGTAACTTTCCCTTAAAAAGTACACAGCGATGCAAAATAAAATAAAGTCCCTATTGGCGACTGACTGACGTCAGATATCTCAATCCTGAGTGTTTCCCCCTGTTACTTATGGGGATATTAGATTTTTTGAATAATTTCCTTTTTGATTATCCAGACCCTCTTTTTCTTCAAATTTTCGTTGCTAACAAACTTTTGGTTGAGCTGCGTTGTTGAGAAAACGTTTTCCTTCCAACGGTTGAAGGCTTGGATCAATCACAACATCATCACAGACTTCGTCTCAGACAACAGCGATATTCGTATCCTTATGTGTCTGTATCCACCTTTGGGACAATTTAGTGATTAAGTTAGTGAGGCAAGTGGTCCACAAATCATCTATGATGCGTATACAGCAGTTTCTAGGCATACCTCAAAAGTATGCCCTGCGTGTCGTTTTTATTTTTTCTATTGAGGGAAAAATTGAATGTTTTTAGAGGAAGTGCACACAACCAGTTTAGAAATCTTAATGTGCTGCCAAATTTTTTGTGAATGCTTTGATGATTGAAAAATTATTTAAAACTTCTTCTTTCGACTATGGTTAGAGCAGCTTTGCACTGTTTTAGCGATGAACTAGTTGAAGTAACAGCCAGTAAATCAACAGTTACAAACCCATCAGCTTCTAAAACCTTTTGTTGCATTTGGATTTAAAATGCGATACCTACAAAATGAAAAATATTTTTCCACAAAACTTCAACTTGATCAGCTTAAATTGTGACAACCTATGCAGAAAACAATTTTCAATTGAAACTTTAATTTTATTGTTTGTTCAGTTTGTCAATAATATACTTTTATTTTACATATAAGCTGATAAGGAAATAAGTTATTTTTTGTTTCTTTGATGTTGCACAAAAATATTCAATAAGTTAAATTCAATAATTGAATTTTGCAATGACAAAGTTTTTTTATCGAGCAGTAAATTACAATTGAAACTATAGTTCTATGTTGCAGCTTTGCTCGTCAAAATTAGTAATTGACCATTGAGAATCCGAACTATGACGGAAACTTTTTTGTTATTTCATTGGAAGAATAATGTCAACGCACAACAAAAATACTGTGGATGATAGAAAGTGGCAAAGGACACTTTGTTGACTTTTGAAGCTGTGCTTCACTAAAACACAGCTTCACAGCACTAAAACACAGCTCCTGGATTGTCATTCAGGAGACCGTTGCGAAAAGTTTTGGAGTAACTTTAGCTGGTAGAAAATTATTTAGGCTTTTGGGGTGAATGACAAAACAACCAGTAGCTCTAAAATTAACGGGTTGTATTGTATCAAGAAAATCCAGCAAAAAAATTGATTGGTAAATACAAGCTGGATGCAGTTTCAGATCGCCTAAGTAGCAACCAGTCTGAATACGACAACTCTACGCGAATGATGTATTATCGGGGAAACGGATCTGAAGATATCGCAAATCGAATACATAATGTCAATTTTGTACAAATAGTTTTTAAAACGGGAAAAGTAGAAGCAGTTTTACCTTCTTTTAGCTCCTCTTTTTTGAAGGAAAAAGAAGTTATAATGCAAAGTTGTATACAAGATAGCCAGCTGTGGATACAACTCCGCATATGACGGCCAAATGGTACGACTTTTCACTACCAGGGTTGAGGAACAAAGCATTGATGATGCACTAGTGGACAATATCTGAGCGATTGTGGTATCGATGAGACACATGCGAAGATGAAACGGGAGATTACAGACCAAAAGATTAGCGCATTAAGATTGCAAACGTTGAAGGCGCTACAAACAAGGAGAGAGAGACCTAGGATCAACGAGTTTACGAGCCGGTTGCTAACACTTATATTTTAGTTCTGAGGACAGATACTTAAAAGTTTTAAAAATTTAACATAATTTTTTTAAATTTTAACATAATTTTTTGAATGTTTTCACGAAAAGAAAATTAGAAAAAAAAATTCAGCCTTTTAGACTGAGAATCTTTTTAATTGTTCTACAAAAGATTTCATAATGAAGCAAGTTGATTGATCGAATGCTTCCATTGACTTGTTCAATAGATTCGTCGCCAGAGTTTGACCTTGCTTAAGATCATTTCAACCGTCTGATAGAACGGATGAAACTCAACTAGCTTATTAGTAAAAAAAATAGTGTCATTGTTCCGTCTATTGAAATTGGGCAGGAACTTTGCAAATGGGCGTGTTTTATTTTTTTTGTTCTTGTTTTTTTTTCGTTTCGCACGTAAAATCAGCTAGAGCAATTTATCATCGGAGTAAGAGCACAGTTTAAAAAAATTGATTTTCTGTTTTATTACACAGACAAAAAATTTTTAAGACAAAAAAATTGATTTTATTATAGAAAAAACTACGTTTGGATGTTGCATTTAGTGCTAATTTGCCAAAAAAAATTAATAAAATTATAATTTATAGTACAAAAAGTAAGTTAAAAATAAATTTAATTTTTTAAATGTTTTTTAATCACATTTGTCTAACTTGCCTATTTCACTAATTTGTGCGAGGTCGCATATTTCTCGAAATACACTTCGCACCAAAAGCGACACTAGTTTTTATGAAACTATTCGGAACCTTCTGTGCCAGTTGCACAGCCACCAGCAATTCTTGTTTTGTGTTTGCATAGTTTAGTTGAAACACGTAAAAAATTGATTGATTTCTTAAATTGTAGAATTGTTTTTTTTTGGTCATAATCAAGACTTGTTTTTCATAAGACTAATTTTTAGTGATGTGACGAAAAATTCAAGGGAACGCGTAGAATGATAAACATAATCAACAACAATTATCATTGAAAACAATATAAAAAAGAAATTGCAAATATTGCAATGGTTTTTGCAAATTTTTTGAGTTATTTTGTAAAAAAAAATTTTTGCCAATAAAACGCCGATCAAAGCTAAAAGCTCCAGTAGTTAAATCAACATTTCTAAACTGATTTTTCGCGACATTAAAAACGCTCAATATGATTTATCACCTTGCCCATCCATGATTAACGGCTGGATTTACATTTATGTGGAAAAAAAACACTGGGAGATAAAAGTTTTTTCGTTGTCTATATTCGTTGTCTAATTGTTTTGTAAAATGCTTTAACATGTTTTTTGGAAGCAGTCTTTTGAGCTTTCATATTCGTTTGTGGTTGTTTTTTGCAGTTCTCTTTGTAATTGTTTCACAAATACTGTAAGGGCGCGCTAACTGAGTGTGCAACGCGATTCACAAAAATTCAAAAACAATTGGCTATTTTTTTTGTTTTTTAGGCATAAATGTAAGATATATTTTGTCCGAAATTCTAAACTTACATAAAAGTTTTGTTCTTTAAATGAAAATTTTTCTAACAAAAAACAAACTTCAGCCCGAAGAGAGTTTCAAAGTTTTATTATAAAATTTCGATTGTAATTTGATTTTAGTGTTCATAACCATTATTCGGTAACTTCTCCTAGTATGCTGTTTGTACTGTGTCCTGCCTTTTTTGCCCTTAACATGGTTTGTTTCTCAAAATACCCAATTGATTTTTCCTGCTGTTTTGTCGCTACAATTTACTCACAATCTCTTTCTTTCTCTCTCTCTCTCTCTATCTATCTATCTATCTATCTATCTATCTATCTATCTATCTATCTATCTATCTATCTATCTATCTATCTATCTATCTATCTATCTATCTATCTATCTATCTATCTATTTATCTCTCCCTCCCTTCCTCTGTTCTTAGTTTAGACTAAAAAATACAAAAAAAAGAAAATGGATACTTTAAATTGAGATGCCATCTCTCTGAGAGTGACAAGCTCTTAATTTTTACAAAGAGAGTGACTAAAATGCAGTGATTTACTAGTCGAAAGCAGCAGAAAATGAAAACTAAACATATTGGCTGCAAACCACGTGTTCGGCAAAGTGTAAAATGGTTTAACATCACAGCAAATTCAAGAATTAACCAATAAAATTCCCACCTTAAGTTTTCCCAATAAAATTCCCACCTTAAAAAAGATCCTCATCATATGATTACGTACAAGAAAAATGCGTATCCTACATGTCTTGCGTACGTTTATTCATGCTTAAGTCAATGTTTTAGTTTATTAACCCAGGCTGACTTATTCATATAGTAATAAAAAGTTTGATCTTCCATAAAAAACAGGTCACGTTTTTCAACACTAAGTAAAAACTGCCGAACAATTCAGAAGGTTATGGTTTTTCACTGTCAGTCTTTGAATCCTGATGACCAATGATACAACATTGAGCCCCTAGATTCTTTTTGAGGTAGTTTCCTAAATAACCGACGCACGCAAAATCATTAAAAAAGTTTCATCAATCAAGAAACAGCTGTCAAAATGTTATTATCATTCAAATTTTTGATTAATGAAGAGTTGTCAAATCCGTTATTGGTGATTATTTCTGAGAATATTTTGGAGGAGTATCTCGAAACTCGAGTTCTTTCTGAATCGTCAAAATCAACGCAAAACACGCCAAACTTTTTGCTGAAACCATCAATCCATTCGAAGTTGTCAATCAAAGACCATAAGGTGTATCTTTTCACGTTTATTTTGTCATGTTTGATCAATTTGTATAATTCGTTCAAATGCGCCACAATATATTGAGTTTTGTTCACGTCAAGAGAATCATTGCAACTTCTAGGCCAATCACTGAAGCCATTTTCTGTTAAGTATATTGCTTTGTTTCCATAATTGTACTTACTTTTTACCCATTTTAATATTTTTCTGAGTCCATATGGAACTGATTTCAGCCACGACGACGCCGATTTTGGCCATTCTGGCAGCTGGAATTTGTACACGTCTTGGTCGTTAAACATTCTGGGAATTCGGCTAGTTGGGAAGTTCGCCGCTTTGCATACTGAAGCGGTGTAGTAATTAATCCCCACAAAATCAGTCGCCCCGAGGAGCAATTTTTGTTCTTCGGCGGTAAATTTCGGAAGTCGTGATTCGTTGAAACCCTGTTGTAGACTTCGGTTTCCAATGCTGTCAATCATGACTTGCGGGTAATTACCTGTCCCGACTAAAGGCGACAGCAGACTTCCTAATTTTAATTCCATTTCTCGGTTAGCGGCATCGATATCGGCTTGTGAATCGGAAAAAGGGATAGCCCAACCCCCGTTAACAGTTATTCCGACAATGCCTTGCTGGGAACTTCTGTATTTCTGGTCGTAAATATGCCACGCTTTCTGGTGACCAAGCAATTGATAATGTAAAACTAAATAGTAACCGACCCCTATTTTTAGAATTCCAGGGGCGCATTCTGCAAGCTCGTAGCAAATTGCGACCGATTTAGGCTCGTTGAAAGTGATCCAAGTTTTTACCCGATCGCCGAATAGCCGAAAACACAACTCGGCATATGTCGCGAACCAATCAGATAGCTCGGGCACAATTGAGCCACCTTTGTTTTGTAACGCTTGCGGTAAATCCCAGTGGAACAATGTGACCATAGGTTCGATTCCCGCTCTGGTCAAGTTATTGATGGTTTCGTTGTAGAAATAAACTCCTGCCCAGTTGATGTCGTCTTCGGTTTCGTAGACTCCACGTGGGAGAATGCGAGCCCACGAGATGGAGTAGCGGTAGAATTTGGCGCCCAAATCTTTGATTAGTTGGATGTCCCTCTCCCACAAATAATAACTGTAAAAAAATAAATGTCATTTGTCAATTTTTTTTCTCATTAAATTTTTTTGACAATAAGCTACATTTCACATTTTTTTAGAAACTGCAATTTGAATCACAAAAAGTTTTGTCGTTTCCAGGAAGACGTTCAAACTTAATAGATTTAGTTCTGATTTATCTTCTTTGTTCTTGTAGTTTGAAGAAGTATGAGCAAAAACTTTACAATTAACGTTTTGGTCCAGTACGTTTGACCTGATTGAACTAATGACCAAACAGATAAAGTACTAATTGAACTAATGGGCTAAACAGATAAAGTATTAAAAACTGAACAAAAAAAACAACAGAAAATAGATACTGCATTTTTGTATGCCTATACAGTTTGTAACAAAATTCATTTTCATATACAAATTTTGGGTTGAAAACGTGCGTTCTAAATACTCATTAGACAACTAAAAAACAGAGAATGATTGACACCTCTTGTCAGTGTCGTCTCCTGTCTGATGTTGGTAGACTGGACTGAGGGGTGGGTGGGTCCAGGTGTCCCATATGTTCACCCCCTTCCCATCCACATTCCACCCACCCTCCACCTAAATCACCCAAATGGAACATAATCTGGGATTCAAACAAGATGGGGTTTTTTATTTTGATGAATTTGTATATTGAAAACAAAGTATTCCTTTTGAAAAGAAATTATTATGATGTGATTTTTGATGTACATAAGAATTCATCGAGAGGTAATGATATGCTTTGCGCCTGGTTAATTAATAATAGGAGCAAATGGCTTGCAGCTATTCAGTTTGGGGTACTTTTGTTCTAAGAATACGTTAAAACAGGGCGGATTTCAATGCGCGTTAATATATCAAATACTTTCGAAAGATCGGAATTTCCTCCGAAAATTCTTTCTAATTGCAATGAGAGAATCGGTGTTCTTCCAGCCACTTAGACAACCCATTGGTTGACTTCAGCCAATCGGATATTGGGCGGCACCAGATCCAATCTGTCGCAACCCAGGTCTGTCTTTGTGCTTATAGGCATGACACTTATTACCGCGACAGTGTCCAAAAAGCTTTTGACCGCTAGCTTATTGCCTTGTACATTCAACAAGTCGGCTTCACAGTCAATATGGACATCTTTCTGCTTTTATATAAAGTACCAATTGCTTTCAGATGATATGAAGAATTTGATTCGAAATATTTGAAAAATCTAAATATATCTGAAGATAAAAAAATAAACCCCAGCGCAATTTTTTGGTCACTTTCTTCGAATGATGAAACTAAAATGATTACTGTATCGGCAATTTTAAAAGTCTTAAATGAAGCTCAATTCTAACCTGATAGGCTGAAGTAGCAACACCGAATTGGAAGTCATTTGGAAAAGACCCAACTTCAAATATATCTCGATCAGTTTCATTAAACACGTCTGGGTAAACGAATAGGTTTTCGCCGCAAGCAGATTGAAAAGAAATCTCAATTAAAAACAGCAGAAATGAAACTTTACCGAATCGCATCATAACTATTAGAATCTGTCTGGTAAAATTATCTAGTAACTCCTGAAATGTTTATGCTTCTATGGTTTATCATCAATGTTGGCTGGATAAACATTTTCAAAAGTTCATTAAAATAGTAACGAAGATTGAAGTTAACGAATGTAACGAACTCAATTCTTGGGCTTTTTAAACAACATTTCTAATATTTTTTCTTCAAATTTGACCACTGATAGATAGTGATTAGTAGTTTTTAATTTATGATCGTTTTTCAGAGATTCGAGCTGCAATGAGACATTCCATTTTTTTATTCGTGTTATTTGGTTGAAAAATGTTTTTTTACAGCAAAAGAGTCGGCAGATGAAAAGTTCACTGACTTGAGGAGTTGAGAATTAATTTTAACGATAGTTTGTGTCAAGAGAAACCATTTATATTACTTGGCACTTTTACCACATTTACCAATTGGCACTTTTATCAATCCGTTTCGTAGTTTAGTTCAGCATCACATAATTCTACAGAACACTCTATTAGTTGACGGTTTTTTGGTTAGAATGCTTGATTTTAGTTATATAGTGTTTTTTAAATACTCGAGTATAGCTATTTTTATAAGTATGTAAGAAACGAGGTAATAAATGTACAATTTAGGCCGAAGAAAAAACTTGGATCTTCTGAAGTATTTCTCCCCCTTTTGGACCTTCCCGCATCCCGTTTCAAGCGTTAATAATCGATTATATTACAATTTAAGTACAAGTCTCACTAAAATTGAGAAACAATCAATTTGAATCAATTAATAATCGATCATAATCACTCTTTTTAAAATAAAATTATAATCAATTATAATCATTTATTTGTTTATTTTTCGATACAAATATAAGCGATTATAATTGATTAAAATCCATTATTTTTTCAAATTTATATTTCATTAGTTTTGCACAAAAATCCATTATAATCGATGATAATTGATTTTAATCCCTTTTGCTTGTCTATTTTTGTCTTCGAAGTTGCATCTAAATTGCTTATATTTTATGCTTTTTGTGGACGTTGGTTCGTTTAAAAAATGAGGCAAATATTTTTTTGGATTGTTCATTTAATTCAAATTAATAGGTTTTTTTTTCATTTTTTCTCCATTAGGGTTGTTTTGTGATGCATATTTAAAGCTTTTTTAAATATAAAAAACATCAGCAAATTGATTTAGTTTCTTGATTGATTCGGAAAATTTATTTTTCATCTACCGCGAGATTCTTTCCACTCATATGAAAGGATCGCTATGAAACTTTTGTTTCGTGGTAAAACTTTGTGTTCAGATTAACCAAAGTGTTCAAGAGATTTCAGTTCTAGAGAATTTCATATTGACACAAAATTAATAACCCATAAGATATAATTCGAATTTGAGAAAATCTCGGCAAAATAAGAGATTATAATCAATTATAACTGATTTTAAGGGTTTTTAGAATATAATCAATGATAATCGATTATAAAAGATAATAATCTTTTGGAAAATAACACGATTATAATCAATTATAATCCCTTGAGGGCCTAATTTTGGTAATTATAATAGATTATAATTGTCAAAAAATCATCATAATAATCCATTATAAAAGATTTTTTACGCCTAAACTTGGATGCGGGTTGTTAACTATTCCCCCCTCTATGCACGTATAATTTTTGACAACCTTTTCTGTATAAAGTATGCTTTTCAAAAATGTCAACAATTATGTGGGTTTTCATTTTCGCCCGTTCATATTTGTATTACTCATATTTTATATAATACACACGTAAAAATTTATATATATATATTTTTTTTCACAAATTGTTTTAAGTTATTCAAAATGTGGCCGCCAAAGTTCAATATCTGAAAATCGAAATAGCAGGGGGGGAATTATTAACAAGATCCAGAAACTTTCTGAAGAAAGTCTATTTTTAAATTACAATACAACTACTTTTAGAATTCAAATTTTGTTCTCGCTTCTATTTTTATAGACAATTTTTTTCAGTAAATTCATGATCAGTATTCGATCGCTAGTTGGGGAGATAAATTAAAAATTAAGTTGTCACAAAAGACTTGAACAATTTCTAGAGGATTTCGAGGTGGATATATATTTTAAAATCTCAGTGGAATAACAAATTTATCTAATATAGAAAGCATTTAGAAATTAGTTATAAAATATGATCATATTCCCTAATCTGTAAAGGCTTGCTGTAAATTTTGACTATTTAAACTATCTCACCTTATAATTTTAAAATTTTTCCGATAAAAGAAAAAATGATACCTATCCTGATATCGGTTAACTTCGATCACTAGCTCAAAAATCAAACATTTTGCGGGATGAACTTATAGTTTATAAATAGTTTTTCAATTTAATTCAACCTGCGAATCAATACGCTTAGGCCTGCTGCTCGCTTCAAAACTGGAAACAAACTAGTTTGAACTGTTGTCACATTTGTCATATCCTTAATCTCTATTCAAACGTCTGCCTCAAATAAAATTTTCCATTTAACTCAGATTTTTTTCTAACTTAAATCATCCAAATGCTTAACACTAGGTTCGGAGATTTTCATAACTTCAAAAGAAATAGGTTTCAAATTTCTATTAAATTGAAGTCAATGTTAAATTTGGGTAGTCATATCCAAAATATTTTATTTATGTTAATATCTTATATCACTACTATCTATCTTCAGAAACAAAAATTTGACTTCAAAATTCTCAACTTAAATTTTATTTAATTTTTTTGTATCAGAATAACAAGTGGATCTATTTTGAAATTTATTGTAGCTTTATTTCAATCTTTTGTTTGTTAAAAATTTTTTCTAACTTAAACTGTGTCCTGACTGATTTCACTAACAATTGCTGTTGATTCAGCCTCTAACCCTTGGCAAACTAAGCAGGACTACTTAATTAGAATTATCAAGGCGCGGTCTTTGATTTTCATTAGTAACTGCTGGCATTTTTAACAGTATCCACGTTACCCAATACCTTAATTGACACAAGGCTTTTATTCTAACCTGAAGCTTTTATTCATGACATGAAGCTTTTATTCTAACCTGATAGGCTGAAGTAGCAACACCGAATTGGAAATCATTTGGAAAAGACCCAACTTCAAATAAATCTCGATCAGTATCATTAAACACGTCTGGGTAGACGAATAGGTTTTCGCCGCAAGCAGATTGAAAATAAATCTCAAATAAAAACAGCAGAAATGAAACTTTACCGAATCGCATCATGACTATTAGAACCTGTCTGGTAAAATTATCTAGTAACTCCTGAAATGTTTATGCTTCTATGGTTTATCATCAATGTTGGCTGGATAAACATTTTCAAAAGTTCATTAAAATAGTAACGAAGATTGAAATTAAAGAATGTAAGGAACCCAATTCTTGGGCGTTTTGAACAACATTTCCAATAGTTTTTCTTCAAATTTGACCGCTGATAGATAGTGATTAGTAGTTTTTAATTTATGATCGTTTTTCAGAGATTCGAGCTGCAATGAATATTCCATTTTTTTATTTGTGTTATTTGGTTGAAAAATGTTTTTTTTTACAGCAAAAGAGTCGGTAGATGAAAAGTTCACTGACTTGAGGAGTTGAGATTTGTTTTAACGATAGTTTGTGTCAAGAGAAACCATTTATCACTTGGCACTTTTACCACATTTACCCCATGGCACTTTTATCAATCCGTTTCGTAGTTTAGTTCAGCATCACATAATTCTACAGAACACTCTATTAGTTGACGGTTTTTTGGTTAGAATGCTTGATTTTAGTTAAATAGTGTTTTTTAATTACTCGAGTATAGCTATTTTTATAAGTATGTAAGAAACGAGTTCATAAATGTACAATTTAGGCCGAAGAAAAAACTTGGATTATGTTAAGTATTTTTCCCCCTTTTGGACCATCCCGCATCCCGTTTCAAGCGTTAATAATCGATTATATTAAATTTTTAGTACCAGTTTGACTAAAATTGAGAAACAATCAATTTTAATCAATTAAGAATCGATCATAATCACTCTTTTTAAAATCAAATTATAATCAAATATAATCATTAATTTGTCTATTTTCGATACAAATATAATCGATTATAATTGATTAAATCCATTATTTTTTTCAAATTTATATTTCATTAGTTTTCCACAAAAATCCATTATAATCCATGATAATTGATTTTAATCCCTTTTGCTTGTCTATTTTTGTCTTCGAAATTTCATCTAAATTGCTTATATTTTATGCTTTTTGTGGACGTTGGTTCGTTTAAAAAATGAGGCAAATATTTTTTTGGATTGTTCATTTAATTCAAATTAATAGGTTTTTTTTTCATTTTTTCTCCATTAGGGTTGTTTTGTGATGCATATTTAAATCTTTTTTAAATATAAAAAACATCAGCAAATTGGTTTAGTTTCTTGATTGATTCGGAAAATTTATTTTTCATCTACCGCGAGATTCTTTCCACTCATATGAAAGGATCGCTATGAAACTTTTGTTTCGTGGTAAAACTTTGTGTTCAGATTAACCAAAGTGTTCAAGAGATTTCAGTTCTAGAGAATTTCATATTGACACAAAATTAATAACCCATAAGATATAATTCGAATTTAAGAAAATCTCGGCAAAATAAGAGATTATAATCGATTATAACTGATTTTAAGGGTTTTTAGAATATAATCATTTATAATCGATTATGAGAGATAATCTCTTGGAAAATAACACGATTATAATCAATTATAATCCCTTGAGGGCCTAATTTTGGTAATTATAATAGATTATAATTGTCAAAAAATCATCATATTAATCCGTTATAATCGATTATTTACGCCTAAACTTGGATGCGGGTTGTTAACTATTCTCCCCTCTATGCACGTATAATTTTTGACAACCATTTCTGTATAAAGTATGCTTTTCAAAAATGTCAACAATTATGTGGGTTTTCATTTTCGCCCGTTCTTATTTGTATTACTCACATTTTATATAATACACACGTAAAAATTTATATATATATATATATATATTTATTTTTTTTTGCGAAATTGTTTTAAGTTATTCAAAATGTGGCCGCCAAAATTCAATGTCTGAAAATCGAAATAGCAGGGGGGGAATTATTAACAAGATCCAGAAACTTTCTGAAGAAAGTCTATTTTTAAATTACAATACAAGTATTTTTAGAATTTACATTTTTTTTTCGCTTCTAGTTTTATAAACAATTTTTTTTCAGTAAATTCATGATCAGTAATCGATCGCTAGTTGGGGAGATAAATTAAAAATTAAGTCGTCACAAAAGACCTGAACAACTTCTAGAGGATTTCGAGGTGGATATATATTTTAAAATCTCAGTGGAATAACAAATTTATCTAATATAGAAAGCATTTAGAAATTAGTTATAAAATATGATCATATTCCCTAATCTGTAAAGGCTTGCTGTAAATTTTGACTATTTAAACTATCTCCCCTTATAATTTTAAAATTTTTCCGATAAAAGAAAAAATGATACCTATCCTGATATCGGTTAACTTCGATCACTAGCTCAAAAATCAAACATTTTGCGGGATGAACTTATAGTTTATAAATAGTTTTTCAATTTAATTCAACCTGCGAATCAATACGCTTAGGCCTGCTGCTCGCTTCATCACTGGAAACAAACTAGTTTGAACTGTTGTCACATTTGTCATATCTTTAATCTCTATTCAAACGTCTGCCTCAAATAAAATTTTCCATTTAACTCAGATTTTTTTCTAGCTTAAATCATCCAAATGTTTAACACTAGGTTCGGAGATTTTCATAAGTTCAAAAGAAATAGGTTTCAAATTTCTATTAAATTGAAGTCAATGTTAAATTTGGGTAGTCATATCCAAAATATTTTATTTATGTTAATATCTTATATCACTACTATCTATCTTCAGAAACAAAAATTTGACTTCAAATTTCTCAACTTAAATTTTATTTAATTTAACTGTATCAGAATAACAAGTGGATCTATTTTGAAATTTATTGTAGATTTATTTCAATCTTTTGTTTGTTAAAATTGTTTTCTAACTTAAACTGTGTCCTGACCGATTTCACTAACAATTGCTGTTGATTCAGCCTCTAACCCTTGGCAAACTACGCAGGACTACTTAATTAGAATTATCAAGGCGCGGTCTTTGATTTTCCTTAGTAACTGCTGGCGTTTTTAACAGTATCCACGTTACCCAATACCTTAATTGACAAAAGGCAGAAAAAAATGGATAAAGTTTTGGTCAACACTGTATTGCCAACAAAAATGTCAGAATCCGCACCACAATTTGTGTCCTAACCCAGAACCTTTATTGGAACCTGCAAATCGCAAGTGGATTCCGCAAACTGTAATTGGGATCCGCATGAAATTATGAAATGCACTCACATTTGAGAAATCCGGAACAACTAGTATTATTTGCTCGTTGCGGAATCTGCAACTAAATTAACGTGCCGAAAAAATTTACTTTACAAAGATTTGTGCGCTGAACCCACAGAAATGTTGTACTTGGAATCCACTAACATTTTGGACCATGCTTAAAGTCTTGTGTCTGGATTCAATAACTGTATTCAATTACAAACAGACACGACCATGGAAACGTACTCAGTTTGTCATCTACACAATTACCTACGACTGTCTCGAACTAACTCTGAGAAATAGGTGAAGGCGCCCAATTTTAAGCATGGGAGCAAGCTGGACACGAAAGATCTGACATTAGTGTTAAAACCAAAACGATGTCTCCGTAAAAAAGCTAATTTGTTTGGATAGAAAGTTGCGAACAAATTGCAATGGACTAAGTGCGCCTGGGAAAATTTGTTAGCGAAACTAATGGAGCGGACAATGGTTAGTAGTGCCTGCAAAATGGACAAGAAGACAAAGGTCACCGTTTTCAGCATTGTGACTTGGATTTTTTCGATTTTTCCCATGAAACAACAAGCGAGAGTTTGCGAGAAAAAGTTTGAATGGTTTGGTCTTTTACATTTTAAATCAATACTTTGTGTAGAATGAGTTGGTTTGACGCCTGTTTCACTTGAAAAGTTGTATAGAGTAAGGTGGGTTGAAGTTATGTAGGGTTGTTAGTTATCACTTGATTTTGAAGCTGCCTTCGAAACCGTTCAGAGAACCTTAGCGTGTAATTTAATAATTTCCTTCGAAGAAAACATGAATGTAGATAGTGCAAATTGCCCGGGTTGACATCCATAGACCGAAAAGGCTTATCATACAATTCCATACATCAAGTGTGTGGGAAAATGCTTGTCATATAATTTTCATACAATTTCAAAAAATGAGTGAAAACAGATATAAACTAATTTCTGCGGCTGTTTGATTCTAATTTGGCAATAAAAATCCGAGGTTTTAGCTTTTTGAAAAAAAAAATGCTTATCATACAATTTCCATATATTGAAATTATATGACTAACGTTTTTTTGATGGTGACACAAAAATTTTTTCCAAGTAATTTTGAGTTTGTCCTAAAATTTTTTTGTTTTTTTTTTCAACCGCAAATCGATTTTTTCACGCAAACAAACATGCATCCACGTACTCCTGGAAACACAAACACAACCAAAATTTCTCAAAAATTCAACTTTTTGGTTTATGGAAAAACTCCTATTATACAACTTTCATATATGGAGAAAGGCTTATCATAGAGTTTTCAAACAATTTTCTGTACGTATGGAATTGTATGACAAGAAGTTTCTCATAAATGGAAATTGTATGATCAGAAGTTTTGGTCAACGCGGGTACCTTAATTGTTAAGGTAATTTAAGGTATTTTCTAAGGTAAATTTACCTTAAATTTTTTTGAGTGTACCAAAGGTTGCAACTAAAATAGACTTTCGATTAAATCAAACGGTGATTGAAAACAGAAATCGTCTTGATAAATTGAATGAAACAGCAGACTTTGTTTTAATCTCATAATCTACATACATAAACAAATAGTTAACTTACAAGATAGTTAAAATCTTCTGTGGCATATTTTATCAGCTTTATGTTGAACTAAAAAACTTTATGTTGAACTAGTGGTCCTAAATCAGCATTAAATTCATTCTCGCACAATTTACGACAAAATTGTTTGCCTCAAACCAATATCAACATGGTTTTATCGTAACGAATTTGAACGCTTCAGAATATAAAATATAAAAATCACCACAGTTTTAGGACCAACTCAATAATCTCCCCCCGAAATCAAATTTAGTTGAGATAGTTCAATTGATTAAAACTAATTTTTTTCAGGCAATCAGGTTTGAGCATAGTACATACAGGCCTTACTGCTTGAATTTACCATTTAATTTTAGGGGGAAGGTTATTCACTTGGTCATTTGACGGGAGACTTCATTTTTTTTTACTTGAGTGGGATAACTTTGAAAAATCTCA